GTTCTAGAAGCAGTCCCTCAAAATCACTAGAAGGGGCCTATATATAGGCAAAACACCCCTGAATCCGGAGATTAGTGGCCTGGATAAAATCTAAGCCATCCATGCCTCATCAACATAGTGTGAGTCACCGATCTCTATAGCCTCCATATTTTGCCACATGTTGTTAATTCACTTTAGCAGCTATTCTGCCCGATTTCGGGTCTTATGTTTGTCAATTTTGAATTTTTTTTAAAAAATATTGGGATTTGTCATGTCTTTGGTTTCCATTCTCCTAAAAATGGGTTGATGGGAATATTTAGGGAATATTTTGTGGTTGACGGTCCAATCTATCCTAATCTTTATGAATCTAATATGGTCCCTAGGGTTTAGGTTGTGAGGTTTTGAAAATTCTCTTAACCAAAATTCAGGGGGTTGTCTACAAGGAGATATGACCATAATAAAATGGTGAATTTTAAGTTGTTTTTTTGCTATATTTTCGGTCATGGTGAATAGTAATTTTCGTTAGCATGTGAATAGTATGTTACAATTAAGTTTTTTTTAGTAACCGTTGGTAGGCACCCCACTATGGCTAAGGGAATTATTGGACACCTGCAATGCCAAATCATAGGTTTTTGACCGAGATGCCTTTCAAGGCTAATCTCGGACCTAAAACCATACTTTCACCTCATCTAAATGCCCCAATTCATAGCCTAAACTACACTAGGGGACCATATTAGCATAGTACACCCTAGTGTGCCATAACCTCATGCTCCATACACATTAGGAACATTCTAAAAACGCCATAGAAGTCCCCATCATTAGCCAAACCTTAACTGCTTAGCCCTGAACAAACTTGGGAGGCCTTAACCTTGCCTAATTAGCTAAGCCCCTTAGTTAAACCTGCTCAATTCGGCTAACCACCCTTAAAGCCTGCATTATTAGGTCAATGCACCTCCTTAGGCCTTATGTTTTTGTCTCAAAGCCTAATTAGGAAGCTGCGGCCCCTGCCCCTAATCAACCCTTGACCATGCGTAGGCCTAAGTTGTAGGAAACTGCCTTGGCTCGGGCCGGCCCACTAGGCGCTGCGCCCCCACATAGGTCAAGGGTCACACACAATGGATGTCTTCTCATATGAGCTGTTGCAGAGGCCTTGGGTCTATATAGAGACCCCCTTACACCGAGAAATGTGCCAAATATTTTAGATTTATCCCAAAACTCTACCTCTGCATTTATCGCTTTTTGCTTCTCAAACCCTAGGCACATCAAACCTTAACCCTATACCTCATTGGACCCCCTTCAACTTTAGCAAACATAACCTATCTCTTTGATTCTCAAGCAAGCCCCAAAACACCCTAAGACCTAGACTACGGACCACCATAGTCAAACCCTAGACTAATGTAGTCCCCACTCACCTCAAAGACCTCTCTCTTTGACTTTGAACAATTCAGCCAAAGTTGAGCCTCTCAAGCTCAACAATCCAACAACAAAGGGAATAGGACCTTACCGACAAACTCTAACCCAAACCCCAACTCAGGACTTGGGCCATTCAAGTAGGCCCGTTCTTTCTCCCTTCCAATTTTTTTTCCTTGTTCTCAGTTTATCTATTTAATTAGTTCCAATCTCTTTTTAAGCTTCTCTAAAACAACGTCTTCCCATTTCCTAAGCATTTTTAAAAGGGAAAATATCATTATATTCCTTATTTTTAGATTTCATTTCATAATAGACTCGAGGTTCTAAAAGATATCTTGGAGCATAAAAATTGTAGATTTTATTTCTTCTAACCCCCTAAACTAATTTAAACCTTATTTTTTAGGCCAAACAAATGTAAAAAGACATGCCTTTTCTAAAAACTATTATCTCTCTCTCCGCACCCCTTCTCTCTCTCCGTCTTTCCCATCTCTCTCCCGTCACTCGCTCTCCTCCCGCTCTCTCTCTTCACGTTTCTAGAGAGAATGAGAGACGTAGGAAGAAAAAGAAATAGAGAAATTTGGGGTATATAAGTAAAGAGAGATAAATGATTGGGTTGGATTTCTCGGAGGTGAGAGGTTATTGGGAGGAGAGAGATGTGTTTAGAGAAACATGGGAGGGGAGAGAGAGTGAGAGATGCAAAGAGAAAGAAAAAGAGAGAAGTTTGAGGTATATAAGTGAAGAGAGAGAAATCCCTAGGTCTAGAAAGAGCATGTTTTTTTCACATTTGTTTAGTTTAAAAAATAAGTTTAAAGTGGCTAGGGAGTTAGAAGACATTTTTTGAAACCTTGAGTTTATCATGAAATGAAATCTAAAAATAAGAGATATGAAAATATTTTCTCTTTTTAAAAATGACATTCAGTTTTAGGCAATTTTAAGTAGGCATGACAAGTGGTCCATGAAAAAGAGACATTTTGGTCGATTTCCTACTTACTACAATTTGATGGAACCCTATATCTACTACCTCTAACAATGATGTTGAAATGTGAAAAGAGGCAGAGTTGTCTCATGTCCTCTCGCCCCAAATTCGGGTGCAAACAAGAATTGATCTCAAAATTTGAAGTTAAACTTGACCCACTTTTAGTGACCTAATTTTTGGGAATATTTTGGACCACCCTTAGGTCAGATTTTGGTTGAGTTTGTGGCCAACAACATGTATCTTTGATAGCGTTTAAAGCTGGCCACCTTTATTTATGGGGTGAGGTTTGTATAGAGCAGAGGCTCTAAACAATCAAATTAGAGACTACCCTTAAATAGTGTCAAAAAATATGGTTTCAATCTTGGAAAGTTTTGTGGTAGTTTTAAATTATATTTTTATAGTTAGTTATAAAATTTAAAGCTTAAAAAATAGTGTAGATCGAGCAGATCTATAAAATCTGGAAAATCTTGAAAATTGACGGTCAAAAAATGCGTTACAAGATGTACTATTTCCAAAACTTGAAAAACATTTTTTTCCATGTCCATGCATCTTGATGATCAATTTGATGATATTTGGGCATCAAAACAACCTCTGTTAGTAAAAGTTTTGAGGTAGGCCCTATAAAAACTTTTCCCTTATTTATGAGGTCCTTCAACATCAAATGTGATTCTCTTTCAAAATTGGCCACGTACCATGATCATTTGATGGCCCTTATAGGACTTCTATTTTTCCAGCAATTAAAGAGACTTTCAAATGGTGGTTGGGTTTAACTTTTAAATATCAAAATCATGTGCTTTTTGCCAAAAAATTAAGAAAATAAAAAATGAACTTAAAAAGGTCGTTGTTTCAAATAAAACAAGATCATCCAAAAGAAGAAAACTAAAATGACATTATGAAGATGTATATAAATAAATTAAGAGATTTACAAGCACCGTAACGATATAATAATAAAAAAGGGTTGTATTATGATATGATTATTTGGTACGAGAAGGGCGCAATAATTTTTAGCCATTGAATGTGAAATATAAAAAGTTAAAATATATCATAATAAATTTATTTTAGTTTTTGTGCACAATTAATAGCACATCCCCAACTACCCGATTTCACATTTAATGTACAATAATAATCGTAATCTCCTTGTATTAAAAATAAACAATCATATAATAAATTTCCTAAATAAAAGTAAATTTATCTAAGGGAAAAGTTTATATAGAGTCGAGGATCTAATCAATCAAATTTGAGCCTATCTCAAAAATTTCACTGGAAGAGGCTGTTTTGATGTTCAAATATCTTCAAATTGATCATCTCAACATCAAGAAGCATGTGCATGAAAAAAAAATGGATTTCAAGTTTTGAAAATAGTGTATTTTGTAATGCATTTTTAGACCGTCAATTTTCAAGATTTTCAAGTTTTCATAGATCTGTCGATCTACACTATTTTTGAAGCTTTAAACTTTATAAATAAATATAAAAATATATTTTAAGTCTATCACAAAGATTTCCAATATAGAAACCATATTTCTCGATACCATTTGAAAGTAGGCTCTAGTTTGATTGTTTAGAACTTAGGCTCCGTACAAACCGCATCTAAAGACATATAAGTTGAAATAGTAGTATACACTAAATACATTAATTATTTAATATTGCATCCATATCTTCTTATTTAATTTCTAGATACCCTTCAAGGATTCTGTGTCTCAAAGTATTTGTATCCCACAATTAAATCCAAGGAAATGTATACAACGAGACCGCTTGCTTTTAGTACAAGGATTTCACAATCATTATTGACCATTAGACAGAAACTTATGTGGATAGAGATGTACCACTGATTGGAAACAATGGATCAAATAAAATTTCTTGAATATCATAACAAATTTAATATGCAGAATTTCACATCCAATAGTTGAGAATGATTGAGATATCTTTGTACCAAAAATAAATAGTCTTATAGTATTACAATCTCTTAATCATAATCATAATTGGTTCTTAATGGGCATATTCAACATACACTTAGATACCGGTTCATGTAGAAGCACCGTTATTATCTTCACTTTGCTTCAGGCGAAGCACCCCTAGCCTTCGGGATACGAACTTTGAGAGTCAAAATTATTGATATATTGATATTTTGAAATTTAAAAGAATTATTCAAGTACTTTTATGGGCATTAAAAAAGTAACTTTAAAATTAATAATATTAAAACAATATTTTAACTATTTTATTTATTATTAAATATGGCAATAAATATATATTATTAAATTTTTTATTTTTATATTATTTAGAATAATGATACTATGAGACCCTTCCACACTCATGTGTGTAGGACCTCAAAAGATTACCATTAAAATTGACACAGATCTCTAGAAAAGTTAAATCCTAGGATAACTTTTTTTTAAAGATATGTGTCAAATTTAATGGTCAAATAAATAAATACGAGTAGAAGTTTTTTTCCGAATCGGCGAAAATTCGGAAGTGCTTAATTTTTTTTTTTTTTTTTACGGCTATACCGAAACAGGCCCCAATGCGAATACGACAACAGGAGCCACTAACTCCCAACAGAATCTTTACCGGTTAGAGAGAAACTCCTATAAAAGGAAAAGTCCGGCTGACCCGCTCTAATGCCCGTTATCTCCAGTCTCCCCCATTCCTATGCGCCGTGCATCGTCTCCTCCACCATGCCCCACCACCCTGACCAGCAGGCGCGGCGATGGGCAAGCACCCCGCGCTCGACCTCGAAACTGCGGCGGTGCCACCGCGCACGGTTGCGCCGCCGCCCGCTCAGCCTTGGCACTCGTGGCTTGTGCCCCTCTTTACGGTCGCGAATGTATCTCTCTTTGTGCTCACCATGTATTTGAATGACTGTCCTCGCAATGAACCAGTGGGTCTTGGTGGGAAAATGAAGGAAAAGTCCTCCTGCTTGTTTGTTAGGTCGCTTGGGAGGTTCGCGTTCCAGCCGCTGGACGAGAACTCCTTCCTTGGGCCGTCATCCACCACGTAAGAATTTTCTTTCTCTTCAAAACATACATACACACACTCTCTCTCTCCTTGTGAACATGAATTTTTCATAACATAATCTCTGCTTCTCATGGTTTCCATTTCTAATGGTGCTTCTTTTTTTTTGACAAATGTTCGAAGCTTTATTAAATGGTGCGTCATAACTTGCATTTCTCTCTCTCTCTATCAACCTCTCTCTCTCTCTTAAGATGTAATGATTGGCAGAAAAAGTACCTCAGTTTACTTCACTTAATAATTGATTTCTAAATATCCAGACACATCGAATTTCTCTCTCCCTTACTGAATATACATGTTTTAGGGATCCAACATACCGAACATCTCATGGATTCTATTTGAATCTCAAATTTAGTCTAGGTGTGCATTTCAAATGGTGCAATATATTTACAGAATGGGCATCAGAATTGTGGTGAATTGTTTGGGAAGGTATGTTTCTACCCGGATGGAGGCTGATTTTGTCGGAAGCCGGTTAATAGTATACATTTGTGGGCAATTGTATTTGAGGATAGGGGTTCATGTTCCCTATTCTTAGATTAGATATATCAGAAACCTTTCAAGAAGAGAATAGATAATTTGAGTCTTTTACTTGGAACATGAGGATCTTGAAATGGATGAGTGGCAAGATAAGAAGGGATAGAATTCAAAATGAATCCATTCGGGAGAATTTAGGTGTGGCACCAATAGGCGAGAGAGAGTAGACTTAGGTGGGCTGCCCATGTGTGGTGCCAACTAAGTACTGCACCTGTTAGGAGGTGCGAGTTAGTTCAAGTAGAAGGACTGAAAAGGGCAAGGCTAGGCCCAAAAAAACGTGGTTGGAAGTGGTCTGAAAAGATATGGGGACTTATGGCTTCACTGAGGGTATTGCCTTTAATAAAACATAATAGCGGACCAGGATTGGTGTAGTCGACCCCAATTAATTGAGAAAAGGCTATTATGATGATGACGACTTGGCCCTTTTCTAAGTGGCTCATTGGATCAGTTGTTCATGAGTTGCGATATAGCTTCTATGCAATTCTATCTTTTAGGTTACTTTCTGATTGTACGTTTGGCAACTTCCTTATTTCTTGTATATGTTTTTTTCGTCCCAATAATGTCTGTAGTGTTTTCTTGGGAGAGCACGTAACTAGGGTATGAGAAAAGCTTCCCCAAACTGTCATATGCTGAACTTTATTTGTGACATTGGTGAATTGAACAATTGGGTCGCCAGATGAGCTAGGTTATCAAATGCTCTATTGTTTAATGGCCTCAAGGAGGGAAATTCTACAGTGATGCATGAATGTTCTAAGCAATGTTAATGTTGGATTGGGTTGGTAGAAAGATAAGTGGTTGGCTCAATGGACACAAACTAAATTCTCTTTTGTTGTGATAGCCCCCTAAAATGTGGTAGTGCATGCATGACTTGTGGCTTCCCGTGCCGTAAAAAACTCATGTTGATAGAAACTAGCTAGTGCTATGAGAAGGGCCTTTGCTACAGTTACAAAGAGAAGTGCACCTGGAGCATTTCCTTAGATCTACAAGTTATACTCGTGAGCATTTTTTAAGACCTGGAGGTTGTACTTGTTAGGTAAGGGCACCTTATAAGGGACCATGATGAATGATGGGATTTTTTTTTAGAAACTAATGATGAATGATTGGATTAACTCTAGATCATTTAAAGAGTTGGGTAGCTCTAAATTTTAGCATTGCTTTATAATAAGTCACTATTATTTATCTCAAACAATATTCATCATTTGTTGCCTTATATATTTTTATCCCATTCTATGGCTTGGTTACTTTGTGAGTGTTACTCGCTAGCAATTTTTTTATGGACCGGGTTTCTATGCAGCCAAGCTAGCATATTTAGAAATGTGGGCCTCTTAATAAATCTATTTTTGATATGGATTTTAAGACTTAATTTTTAAAGACATGTAATCTCTAACATGGAGATCATGAATATGAATAAATAAATAAATTTTAAAAACTGAAAATAATAATTCTAGTAAGAAAGCATTTGGACCGTTAGTTTCCATTGTTTTTAGATGGAGCACCTACTTGCGTCCATCTTTAAGATGGATCCTTTACACTTCCTGGACCGCATATGTAGATATGCGGTCTAGCCCGCATATGTAGATATGCGGTCTAACCCGCATGAAACAATTTTTCTTTTTTTATTCATAGATAGTTTCTTAGGGTCCATATTGTCTGTAGTTTTGTGTGTGTCACACAATCCATAGACAAGCTTTGGAGAGCTTCCATTCCCACCTAATTTGGATCACATAAAAAAGAAAGGGATGAGAAAAGGAAAATCATTAGCATACTTTTCAAGGGGTACTAAGGGAGATGATATGGAAGATTCAAACTAGTATCACAGAAGACAAGATAATTACCTAGCAAGTGAAAGAGAGAACAATATATGAAAGATGGGAAATACAAATTCCTAATTGATTTTGAATGAGATGACATATATGTATTGAGGTCTTAATACATATAGAGAGACAAGGAGATGCTTGTAGGGAGGGTTGTTGTAAATATCTTAACACACAAGGTCTATCTCAGCCTTTGTGAATTTTCATGTGCATTAATATAGTAGGTTGGGTACTTGCAAGACCCCCACTTGGTTAGTGGAAATGATAAAAAGAGGTGGTGCAATCTCCCTCTCTCTATGTGTGTGTGTGCGTTCACGCGCGCACACACACAATTGTGTTTTGCTTTTGGGAATAATTGTTCTTGATGCATGCTGTTGTCTCACTAAAGCTTTGTGCACATGTTGTGGCTTGAGCCAATTTGATGGGTTCATTAAGGTATTAAGTAAGTTTTGCCTAACTATCATAGTGGGAGAATGCTACATTCAATTTGAGAAATTGTTTAATTGAACAACTGAGTTAGCATATTGCTTTTTTTAGCAATTTGTTTAAAAAATTCACCATGATTCTGAAACTTTTTAAGCCAATCTCAATGTTAGATGGGATTGGGCTGTCAGAGTTCCAAAAGGGCAAGTTATTGACTCTAGGCAACAAACTAAATAACCTGATATTGTGATGGCATCCTAAAATGTCATATTGCCTGTATGGAGTGTTGCTCTTCCTACAAAATAATCTATATTGGTAGAAATTTGCGATTGCAAAATAATTGGGAGAAGGCCATTTCATATAGTTGAGAAAAAATCTGCAACCTGAAGCATCAGTAACAAAATCTTGAGGTTATGCTTGTTAGGTGGGAAGAAGGGACCACAATGAATGATACTATGAGGATGGTCAATTACTTGGAATAAGGCTTGGATGATGATGATGATGATGATCAAACTTTACACTTATTGTGGAAATTTGGGATATCTGGGTCAGTGTTTCAAAAAGCGGATTGCCTAGCACCTGGTCTAGGCGCCCAAAAAAAGCGGAGGTTCTTGGGCGCCCAGGAAACCACCTAGGAGGCTGCCCAGCGCCCAGACCTAGGCGGCTGCCCAGGTATAGTGCCCGGCCCAGAGGCGGAAAGAGGTTTTGGTCGGGGCTATTTCTGTCCATTTGCTTTATACTAAGGGGCCAAAAATGGGGATTTTAGGTTCATTTGAAACCTAAACTCATTAGAGCCCATTTTAGAGAGAGAAACCCCAAAAAACTAGTTTTTGGTGATTTCTTTAGGATCAAAATGTTTATCAAAGTTATAAGAAATTGATCAAAACATCACCATTGATATTAGATTTAATTTTTGATGTTTTATAAATCTATTGAGGGTTTTATAGAAGATTTTGATTCCTTAGAAGCATCTATAAGGTGGAAGTTTGGAGATTGAGCAATCAAAGTAAGTGATTTTTTTTATTGCTTGTATAAGTTCTATTATTTTGAGATACCTTCTTCGGGATCTAATAGGTATGGTGATCCTGGTTGGAAATATGGCTACATTTTTTTTGAGATGTTGAACAATGATTAAACTTTGAACATTGATTGAACTATTGATTATTCTTTTGAGTCTTCAAGTATTACTTTCATTTTTGTTTTCTACCTCTTGGTTGTGTATTGTGGTCTTGTGGATAGTGGATTTGTAGTTCCACTGGTTTGGCATTTGGTAACTTTGGTTTAGAATTTGGTTGGTAAATTTTAAGTTTTAATTGGATATGGACCGACTTATGGTCATGCTTATGGAGTGTGTGCTAATGTGCAGTATACTTTGAATTCCGATGTGCCCTAAATACCTAATTCTTATATTTTATACAATATAGAATTGTAGAATCCTTTTTGGATTCAACTGAGCTACCAAGGTTCTGGGTGCCCGCCTAGGCGCTGGGTGGCCCGCTTAGGCGCTAGGTGGCCCGCTTAGGCGCTGACGGATTGGACCCCCCAGGCCACCTAGGACCTGCTTAGCGCTTTTTGAAACTATGATCTGGGTATGTTCTTAGCCGAAGTTAGTGGGCCTTAAACCTTGCAAGTGCACAAAAGTAGTGGAATCAGAGGTCATGGTTCATATTAATGTTCCTCAATACTTGACTGAGGGATCTATGGTGTACTCATTACTATTATACTACATTAGATTCTATGCACAAACTTCAAAGTTAAGTAACGATGAAAGCCTGGACTCGTTTGACACTCATCCTTGTCTTGATCTGAGTTCAATTGGTCTAACTTGATCATGTCATTTCAATATTATAAGAGAGACACTAAAACTTGGATCGGTTTCTCGTGACTCAACCAAGATTTAGATAGCTTCCGAGGATTTGACCAGTTTCAAGAGAGCGAAACAATTGGAAAAGAAAAATCTTAATTGCCACATAAACGAGGAGGAGGGTGCTCCCACCCTGAGGGGGTTTTCAAGAGAGAGAAACAATATGGAAAAGAAAATTCTAACTGCCACATTAATGAGGAGGAGTTTTAGAGAGAGAAACGATTTGGAGAAGAAAATCCTAACTGGCGTAGTAGCATTGAAGAAATCTCTCCTCTCTCTCTCTCTTTCTTCTACCCTCTCACTCCTCTTTTTTCCTTCAAGAAGAATAAGAGGAGGAGGAGGAGGAGACT